AGACTTTTACCACTATGAAGACATAATTAGAAGAGTACCATGAAAATCTGTAGAGCTCAAATCTTCAAATATCAGAAAGACAAAAAGACAGGAAAAGACAACTAAAAAAATTTACAAATAGTTACTGTGCCCATATACAAAAGACTGGACAAGCAAAATGACATTTAAAACTGATAAATACACCATTTAAATTATGCTATAATGGTAAGGATTTTAAAAACAGGGACTACCATGTTTTGCAAGACATTACAATCCTTCAATTTGTGTTTTTTGTTTAACATCAAGAACCAACAGAAAAGAAGTGCAGAGCATACTTGAAATCCTTATTGGTCTAAAACACACCAGAAGTGTGGGGTTTTTCTTGCCTCTGAAATTGTTTACAGCCTCCACAACAGGGCTTGCAGCTAGAGAGCTGGCAGACGCTGCCCTTGAGTGCCAGGACGACAGGGGGTGCAGCGCGCTGCCATCTCGACTGAAAGCATCCGTTTTATCAGCTCATCTTGTGCCCAGTTTTACTGAGATAACCTCAAAAATACACAACAAAAATGAAGTGAAATTGCTTCAGGCTGCAATCTGTTGCTCTTCCTGCTAACGTGCAATTCCTTCAAATTCACTGATCACAACATGCTTAGGATGATAAATGAGTACCTGATCCTGCAGTCCCCAAAGTCCAAATTTTGCCTGAGTAAGGACAACAGAGTCAGGTTCTGTATACGCGACAGCACACACAGTACACTTAAAAGATTTTCCTTGGCAAAACATTACACCTTTCCTTATTTCAAAAGCGAAACACTAACGGTATCACCTAGCAGAATTGTGCTCATACAGTCAAAGGTAACTCGCACCCCCTTTGCTCTGCAAAGACAGAAATGCAAGCAGCAACATCGGCCGGTGCTCCCAGCGCCCACGGTTACAGGTGCGTCAGGACAGGAGCTGAATCCGGGGCGATGAAGGCTTTAAGTCAAGCCCAGGCATCCTTTCCTGGGCATCATAAATTCTGAGCTAAAATCAGGAACGTTTGGATCAAGTCCACCCTATTTGTCTAGGGGATGTTGTATTGGCACCGAGGATACGGATGCACCCAGAGCATCTCTTTACCCAAGGCTCAAGGAGAGGAGGAAAAAAAAAAAAAATCGTTTCAGCTCACTTAACCATCCCTGTGTTATATCCACCCTCCAGGCAGCAGCAGAGGCAGAGCAGAGCACAATGGTACCACCTTTTCCCCTTGGGTTCAAAGTCGCTGTGTAACGCACACAGGGAGAAAAACGACTCCAGCAGCCACAGGGCTGGTACCAGCGAGTCAGAGCACAACCAAGCCAGAAATGCACTAGTGACAATACAAAAAATAGTGTTCACTGGTTTAATAAGTTTACATCTCTATTTTTATGACCAACAAGTGTTTATACCACATGTGGAAGGCACCCTAGGTGAAGCAGTTTTTCGGTATTTGTTTACAGTTGTGTGAAGACATAAAAAGTGTCAACTTTTAATTCAAAATTGGGCAATATAATGAGAAATAAATACATACTTTACTGTTATTTGTGGGTTCCTGAACCCTTACAAACTTCAACATATACAAATAGTTTCGAAAACGACGTTAACACAGAAGAGTAAGTCTAGACAGAAAAAACAACTAGCTAAGTATTTTGTTATATTATGTCCTAATGTTGTGTTTTAAGTGTAGAAATCATTTAAAATACAACAAATTGATTGCAAAATATATCAAAGTAACTACCTACTTTAGACCTGTGACCACTAAATTAAAGCTGGATGAACTGTAGTGCTAAGATATACTCCAATATATCCCTCCAATATATCCAACAAGTAGAAACCAGTAAACAACCAAGATGAAGGTACAAACAGTAGAAAACTGAAGGTAGCAGTTGTTGTAGTATAAGGGTGTTAGACAGAACTTCAACCTGCAGACATCAGGATAAATGCAATACTAATGAAAATATTTAAACTACAATACTCCTGGTAATAAAAAGTTACCAGAAGTAATAAATCAGATTAGTTGAATGGTGTTTTTTTTTTTTTCTCCAAAACACATGAAGGTTTTAATTAAATATGTCTATTGAGACATTTGTCCAAAGCAAAACAAATACAATATTCTT